AAACTTGGTGCATACTCTTACTCATCAGCACCCTTACTATCCATACCCAATCCCTGAAGGTGTCGTTGTGCCTTATTCAGCTCAGCAGATTTACACTCCACCAGCACAGCAGCTACGAAGTCTGCCTCCATACACAGCTGCATTCTCAAACAACTTGCAGAGATGAGGAGTCAATCGATAAGCATATTGTCTGCCAACATCAGGGGCTTCATGACCAATGTTGGCGATCTCACACACAGCTTTGTGAACACTCATCGTCCTGATGTGGTTGTTGTGCTAGAAACATTTCTAGATGACAGGACCCCTGAGAACTTTGCAACAATTGCCGGTTATACCTCATGGTTGCGCCGAGATAGGCAGGGTCAAGGAGGGGGTGTTGCAGTGTGCACCAGCAAATCTGTGTATGCACAACACATTGATGTGGTCATTCCTGGTCATCTTGAAATTATGTTCTTCAAAGTATGCTTAAATCCAGGTACCTCAATTCTCTTATGTGCAATGTACAGACCTCAATGGCAGGGTGCTTCTCCAATCACCTTCCTGATGGACAACCTAGACTCCCTGCTAATGCAGCACAACTGTCAGCACATTATAATTGTAGGTGACCTCAACCAGTATCTTATACAGAGGGATTTTGATGAACTCTTAGCAGTTTTTAACCTTGAAAATTTTGTGAGTTTTCCTACCCACATATCAGGCTCGTCCCTTGATCCTGTCGTAACTGACCTTCCTGCAAATATTGTTAATTGCAGACCTCTGGGATATGTTGGTTCTTCAGACCACCAGGCTGTCTTTACTACACTGGCTATCCCGACAGATCGAGGTGAAGAATCTGTTCGTACTACCTGGCTATGGGACAGAGGGAACTGGCCAGCCCTACGTTCAGAGCTTGAAGTAACTGATTGGCATGCCTTGCTCCAGGGGGACGTGAACAGCCAAGTAAACGCTTTCACCAGTCATATACTGGACCTCCAGTATAGGCATATCCCTCACCGGCAGTATGTGACCAAGCCCACTGATCAGCCTTGGTTTGGATATCGGTGCCGGATGGCAGCTGAAGCCAAAAACAAGGCCTGGAGGAGATTTAAACGGCATCCCTCTGCTCATAACAGAAACATTCATAGACAATCTTGTCGAATAATGAAAGAAGTTCAAAAGTGGGCTATATCCAGATGGGAATCCGAAACTCGAAGAAAACTTGCATCTGGAAGGGTTGGATCCAAGGTCTGGTGGTCCCTGGTGAAGGATCGGCAGGGGTACTCATCTGAGGACACAATCCCACCTCTAAACAGAGAAGATGGTACTGTGGCAACCAGCAATCAGGAGAAGGCTGATTTACTGGCAAACCACTTTGCTTCCAAGATGCAGGTCCCTGATCCTGAACGTCAGCCTCCACATCTTGCCCCATGCACTGTGTCTAAGTTGACTGAAGTGGTTATAAATCAGGCTGAAGTTCTCCATCTCCTTAACACGCTAGACACAAGCAAAGCTGTGGGGCCAGATAAGGTCAGTCCAAGACTACTACGCTGCTGCGCTGACCTGTTGGCTCCACCTCTCACGCGCCTCTTCCAACTGTGCCTAGTTCAAGGAATTTGGCCCTCCTTATGGAAGAAGGCAGACGTTGTTCCAGTGCACAAAAAGAAGAGCCGCTCAGTAGTTGGTAACTACAGACCTGTGTCACTGCTTTCCATTACTGGTTGACATGTCTAATATTTCTCAAAGTTTTAATAACCATTTTTGTGATCGGGAACAGCTTGTGCGTTAGATGTTTGTGTAATCTAATTCAGTAAAATAATTCAACCAGTCTGGATCAATTAAGTACAACAGAGTTTAATTGTTATAACTTAAACCTTGCTAGTAACTGGGTAGAACTTTGACTAGGCGGAAGGATACAAGGTTCTAGTCTGGGCTAGGCCAGACGAGGACAAATCAGTGTGGATACGGGAGCAGCTGGGAGAGGTCAAACATCTTACCTCTCCCCAAGACCACCCAACACCTAGAGCTGTGGTCGCCCAAGGTATAGTTGCTATTGTTAATTATAGGGATAGTCTCTCATTTGCCACTCAGGTCAAGTAGGGAGTGTTAAAGTGATAGGGAGTGAACACATTTAGATTTTTGTTTTAGTTTTCTTTTAATAAATTAAATTTGTTATTAATTTGCATTTTATTGTTTCCATGTGTTTTATGTGTATACTTGTAGATCCTAGAATCATTAATTGCTCAGCAAATGACATCATTTTTTGACCGTCATCGGCTAATTTGTGATCGACAGTATGGTTTTAGAAAAGGCCGATCTGCTGCTGATCTTTTGCTAAATCTCTCCTCTAAGTGGCATCAGTCACTGGATGAGTCCAAGATCAGCTGTGTTGTTGCTCTAGATATAGCAGGAGCCTTTGATCGGGTCTGGCACTCTGGACTAGCAGTGAAGCTTCAAGCTTTAGGCATTGCAGGCTCCATCTTAGTGTTATTAAAAGACTACCTTCAAGAACGGACTCTAAGGGTGGTCCTCAATGGAGCAGAATCCGATAGCCACTCAATTGGTGCCAGCGTTCCACAGGGTAGTGTGCTTGGCCCTCTGCTGTGGAATGTTTATTTCAACGATCTTCTTCATCTCATTCCTGAAGCTCAAGCCTATGCTGATGACTGTACTCTAACCTTTACATACAGAAAGGAGGAAATGCTAACTGCTGCAAGAATCATTAATCACAAACTTTCAGCAATTTCTACCTGGGGTAGGAGATGGCAGGTCACATTTGCGGCTGAGAAGACTCAAGCGATGATGATAACTAGACTGCACATGGCGAATCGGACAGAACTGCAAATGGGTGGCAAATCCCTGGAGTTCACAGAAGAATTTGACATCTTGGGAATGAAGTTCGACTCTTCAATGACAATGAAGAGCCATGTGATAAACCTAGCTAAAAAGGCAGCCAGGAAACTTACAGCACTACGGCGCATCTCATATCTTCTTGACAGCAAGGGATGCAAAACCTTATATGAAGCTCAAGTTCGCTCCCATCTTGAGTATGCACCCCTTTCCTGGATTGCCTGCCCCCCATCTTTCGTCAGACTGTTGGACAAAGTGGAGAGACGGGCTAGAAGGCTTATATCTAGTCTTGACCAAGTCTGGTGGGAACGGTCTGAACATCAGAGCCTGCAACACCGTCGGGACGTTGTTGGTCTTACTGTTATGTACAAGGCCAACATCCTCAAAGTTCCGCACTTGGCCCAACTCCGTGGAGTACCAGTAGTTCCCACTCGTAACACTAGGCTCTCAACCTTCAACAGTCTCATGCTGGAAGTGCCATTCTCAAGAACATCACTCCATCAGCGTTCATTCCTTCCGAGACTTACTCGCATCTGGAACTTGTTCGCTCAACAGATTGATACACGGGAGATCAGGTCAACTGTTCACATGAAGACTCTGGCACACAGCTGGCTACAAGCTCATCCTGTTCCTTATATGATTGTTACTTAATGTTTTTTAATGAATAAAGGCTATTCCTTCTAAAGCAAATAATACCAGGCTCATGAAATAAATGGGCATCTAGGAGTAGGTTTCAACTTAGCTTACATAAGTTAATATATGATAGTTCCCATTGTGTTAGTTTCAAAGTATACTCTTATGTAATAAATGAGTTTCTAGGTGTAGGCTTCAGATGAGCTGAGGTAGGATAACAGCTCTTGCTTGCAGTTTCACTAGGTATGTTATTAGGCATCCCTTATGAATCCTAGTCTTAGTTTTAAAAAAAAAAAAAAAAAAAAAGAAGAGAGAGAGAAGAGAGAGAGAGAGAGAGAAGAGAGAGAGAGAGAAGAGAGAGAGAGAGAAGAGAGAGACGAGAGAGAGAGAGAGAGCCCCGGAATGGGGAGGAAGAAAGGAAAGGGGAGCCCACCCACTCCTCCCCTCCCAGGACCCATGGAAGGGGTGGTGGGGAAGGAAGAGCCCAAGGTGGAAAACCTTAAATCGAGTCGTCTCCGCCTCAGCCATAAAGACTGTAATGAGGTGGAGGACAGAATTTTAATTTCGCCTAAGGATGCATGGCTGGACAGCATGGGGGGGGGGAGGGAGTGGTGGGGTGATGAGACAGGCGTAGTGGATGATAAGACAGGCGTAGTAGATGATAGGACAGGCGTAGTGGATGATAGGACAGGCGTAGTGGATGACAAGGACAGGCGTAGTGGATGATAGGACAGGCGTAGTGGATGACAAGGACAGGCGTAGTGGATGATAGGACAGTTGTAGTGGATACTAGGATAGGCGTAGTCAGGGTGTGGATTCATGGGTGGGATACAGTGCTGCATAAAGATGGATGGGAGGGAGCAGTAGGGAAGGAGGGAGAATTCTATTGGAAGGAAAGGACGAGAAGTCTCCTTTATAAACTAACAGTGATTCACTACACCAACAAGCATGGCCAAATGTGCAAAAATAGAGCCACAGAACAAAATAATGTCAACATTAAGGGCCCAAGACCGCCTCTCAATATAAGCTGCATTGTTACTACCTCCGTGTCCAAGAAGGAATTTGGAAAATCCCTGGTAAAACGATCCATCATTCCCACATTAGACTGCGTGCAACATCGTTAAAACAGCCTGGTAAAACAGACTTCAAGCCATCTCAGAGACGCGACGATTGTAGCATAGAAGTCACAATACAATTTAAATGAGGCACGATAACCATGGCCACGTGCCCAGCCTAAAAAACAAAACAAAATACAAATACTACCCCATGATGCAGGCGATGAATCACAATAACGTGGCTAAAGTATGATGATCAGACCACACGCTAGAATGTGAAGGGACGACGACGTTTCGGTCCGTCCTGGACCATTCTCAAGTCGATTGTGTCAAGTCGATTCTCAACCATCCCACAATCGACTTGAGAATGGTCCAGGACGGACCGAAACGTCGTCGTCCCTTCACATTCTAGTGTGTGGTCTGGTCATCACTACCCCATGATCAATTGTCCCCAAAAGGAATCCCCATCAACGTGTCATTCCTTACCTTCCTCTGTTGTACTCTTGTCCCCATACATCCTGACGGAGGAGCCTCGTCCGCCTGCAGGAGAGAAGAAAAAGGAACATTTAGAGAGCCAAAAAGGAATGATGATAGCCGTGTAAAGTTGCTGTCGTCTAAATATCAAGTGTTATTTTGAAGCATTATCACCCTTATCCTTAATCACGCTCGCTCTAAAATGTAGTGTAACAGGGAGACTGAGAACAGGAAACACAGGGTAACGAGAGATGGTCGTAGAAGTAGTGGTACATGTAGATGTAGTCCACCAGATGAGACAGGTAACGTTAACAGCCCTCCTCGACCCCCTCTACCCCGTCCAGAGGTATGCTACCCCGTCTAGAGGTATGCTACCCCGTCTAGAGGTATGCTACACCGTCTAGGGGTATGCTACACCATCTAGAGGTATGCTACCCCGTCTAGAGGTATGCTATTCTATGCGAAAGAGCTCCCTCCCTCCACCAGACGGGTCCTGGACCGGTCCTACAGTCCACTGGAAGAGTCCTTACACTTACATATATGGGAGGGTCGAAGGGACGGGATATACCGAGTCCTGTTCCTTGCTCACTCAACCATCCCGTCTGCCCCTCCCTCCTAGATAATAATCTCAAAGAGATTACTCATTTCAGACGTATAAACAGACTTGGTGACGTGTGTGTGTGTGGGGCGGGGGCGGGACACAGCTGGTGAAGTGTGACATGTGTGGGGGACACGTCAGCTAGCCTTAAAGTGACTACTTATAAGCGTGACAAGAGGAAGATGAGGTCACAGACGGAATACCCACGTGAGAATATCCCTCCTAGATAATAATCTCAAAGAGATTACTCATTTCAGACGTATAAACAGACTTGGTGACGTGTGTGTGTGTGGGGCGGGGGCGGGGACACAGCTGGTGAAGTGTGACGTGTGTGGGGGACACGTCAGCTAGCCTTAAAGTGACTACTTATAAGCGTGACAAGAGGAAGATGAGGTCACAGACGGAATACCCACGTGAGAATGTGTCCAGTGTGAGAAGTAGACAATTGTACCGAGAAGGGAAGTGGTGAAGGCGGACTCCATGTACAGCATCAAATGTTGATTGAAGGCCCGAGAGGCAGGACCAAAGAGCCGAAGCTTAATCCCCCGCAAGCACACTTAGGCGAGTACAAGGAAAGGGGGATGTCAAGGAGGAAGGGGGGGGAGGGTATTAAGGTAGGTAGGGGAAACTAGCCACGTTCCTATAGCGAGTAATGAAACAGTATGTGACTGATATGTGGGCCTGTCGACCGCGGGCAGCAACAGCCCCCATTGATCAAGCTATTACAGGGAAGCCTGATCTCGAGCTGAGCTTCAGAGTCTAGCAGTCTCCGTGGTGTAGTGGTAAGACACTCGCCTGGCGTTCCGCGAGCGCTATGTCATGGGTTCGTATCCTGGCCGGGGAGGATTTACTGGGCGCAATTCCTTAACTGTAGCCTCTGTTTAACGCAACAGTAAAATGTGTACTTGGATGAAAAAACGATTCTTCGCGGCAGGGGATCGTATTCCAGGGACCATAGGATTAAGGACTTGCCCGAAACGCTACGCGTACTAGTGGCTGTACAAGAATGTAACAACTCTTGTATATATTTAAAAAAAAAAGAGTAGAGCATGTAAACCAATGTCAACCACCACTCTACACCCACCACCATTTCTTTAACTACCACTCGCCCACCAATCTCAACCACGTGACACTACTATCCTAATCACCTCCCCCCCCCCCTGCTCAACTTCTCTTCAACACCCCTCCTCCCCATCCATCCGCAAGTTCAAATCCCCAGCAGCGAACCTATGTTACCTTAAAACTATTTAGTAACCCCTTGTCTAGCAATGAAAGCCTATCACCACCACTGTTTTGGCCGCCATCTTCGTATGATTAAATATAAAACCTCGAAACCTGGTTCAAATTGAAAGCTGGTTCAAACTGCATTTGCAACAGCACAGCAATCAGACTCGACAATTTCATATTTGAAAAATTCCCCCTAATTACAAATCTTGTCAAAGGTCTCCCATTCGCTCCAGAGTTTGTTTTGACGGGCCGGGGGTGATTTGAGACGAACGAGGGGAGACAAGGACTCTAATAACAAGCCGTCAGCGGTAGTTATGCTTAATTATAGAGGCGGTGAACTGGCCTCAATCAGGCAGTATGTTTGTGTGTGAATGATGAAATCAGAGAGGGACAAACAGGAGAGGGAAGGGGGAGTGGGGGGAGGTGATGAAGTAACGGTAAGTACAGGAGAGAGGGAGAAGATGGCCGCTTAGCAACGGAAGAAACAGGACCTCCTCCCTCATAACGCTCCAGCAACAGGACCGACAACAGTGATTGCGGAAACAGCAAGCGCAGGGGGGGGGGAGGGGACCACGCCAACAGGAATATATAATTACTGTTACAGCGATAAACAGGAGTACATCACCGACACAACACAGGTGTCACAGGAGGCTAAGAACACCAAACAGTACACCGAACGACACGGACTCCAAGAACGACAACTCTGTGGTACTCACTACGACACATGCCGCCGGTGCAGTTGGCCGAGGTGAAGTCGTCCCCATTACAGTAACGCCCGCCATGCTGTGGGGTGGGCGACGAGCACGACCTCTGGCGGTGGTGGCGACAATCAGGGCCGCAGGTCGACCAGGACGACCACGACGCCCAGGAACCATCCACTGCTGCAGGAGGGGGGAGGAGGAGGCCCACATGGAGACGGGAGAATGTTAGATGCGACTGGTTGGCACTCTGTGTGTGTGTGTGTGTGGGTGTGGTGTGTGTGTGTTGTGTGTGTGTGGTGTGTGTGTGTGTGGTGTGTGGTGGTGTGGTGTGTGTGTGAGAGAGAGAGAGAGAGAGAGAGAGAGAGAGAGAGAGAGAGAGAGAGAGAGAGAGAGAGAGAGAGAGAGAGAGAGAGAGAGAGAGAGGAGAGAGAGAGAGAGAGAGAGAGAGGAGAGAGAGAAAGAGAGAAGGGAGAGGAGAGGAAGGGTCTCTCTATACCCAATGAGAGAGAAGGTTGTCTTGGCTCTGGCTGGTGTTGAAGAACGATTATACTGCCTTAGGGCTCAATCCAATATACAAAATAAATAATATATAATATATGAAACTAAGACAAGCAAATAAAACATTAAAAATAACCGTACTTAAACAAATAAATAACCCAATAAACAGCAAGCAAAATACAAATAAAAACTAACGAAAACTAACAATAACACCACCCAAACTACATATTAAGACGCCCCACACATTCCTAGCTTTAAACCTACATACCAGAACAAGAACTATTCACTTAAAAATTAATGAAAATATGTGACCTACAACCAGGCCTGAGGGAGGAGATCCTCTTAAGGGGAAAGGATAGGTGACGATTACATACGTTGTGCTATTATCTACTCTATAGCCATGGTTAGGTTAGGTTTCATTACTTTTGGTTACATTAATGTGTGAATAGAAAACTATTTCAGTGTACCCTCGAATTCCGTTTATATTATCCAAATTCATCAAAGAAAACTGTTTTCAGCATATACTTCTTATATTTTAAATCAACTATTTCCATGACATTAAATTTACAACTTTAGAATAATCTACTTTTACGACAAACGTTCATTTACCAGTTTACATGTAGACCATTTCTAGAACCGTAATATGCTTTTAGACCATCACAAGTACCTAGATAACTATCCAGGTGGTTTGAGGGGGGGGGGGAGGAGGGAAGGTGCGGTTTCTAATGGTAATGGATCTGAGGGCGGGGCCGGATATAGTCGCAAGGAACCATGCTTGCTACCTATCTTCACTCTCACTTTGACACAGCTTTCCTCTTGTTAGGTCCCCCTTTATCTAGTTACTTTCCCGACTTGCTTCTCTAATCTCGCAGTACACTAATGGGAATCTCTAATCTCACAGTACAATAATGTAGCACTGTACACTGAGCATGCGTACAGTGTTACGCATGCTCAGATGGAGGAGAGTGCACAGTCTGTACGACGTGCAGTATATGGTGCGTCTAGTGCAAGGGGTGTGCAGTGCAGAGTACAGTGCACAGTGCACACCAGAAGTACAATCAGAGCCGACAACAAGCGCTCACAGTACCAGGGACAGTAATCTATGTAACGATGTATCTCGTAAACATTGGGCCCAACTACTTGGGCTGGACGGTAGAGCGACGGCCTCGCTTCATGCAGGTCGATGTTAAATCCCCGACCGTCCAAGTGGTTGGGCACCATTCCTTTCCCCCCGTCCCATCCCAAATCTCCTAAATATTGGTTGTTAATCGTGTACGCATTTTCATTACCCGGAACAAGGAAGGTGTTATTTTAAAACATTTAAGTCGTCCCTTTCTAACTCGTTCCAATTCAACCGTTTTCTATTATTCTACTGAGCCAAAATGTCGTTATAAACATTTTACACTTAATTACAGTATTTACAAAAACAAATGTATTCTTTACATAATTAATAATAATGTTTATGGCCGCCTCAGTGTATAAAAATGTTTATTTATACATACATGGGGTTTATTTACCCTACCGTGACGCCATCAACATGGCCGCCAAGTTGGAGCCGTTTTCTTTGATTTATTGCGTATTTTTCATAGTCTGAGCGGCTATAAGGCCTTACTGATGTCCCCCCTAGTCTCCCACTCGCTCCATAATGCCTCCTAGCTACATGTTGCTAGCCACAACAACCTTATTTAACCTTCGTGTTGGAGTATAAAGCGAGAAGCGAGTGTCACAGGATATATACACACCGCTTTTCGGTCTATATACACAGTATATACACTGACCTTTAGTCCTGGACAATGTTCAGGACTCGGGTATATTGACCGGTTGGTCACTAACCGGTTGTAATGGCCTTAATAACCATTTAGAGATTGATAGGAACACTACATTAAGTTCACTACATCAAGTATACTTAATTCTACATAAACAAAAAAATAAAATTTACAAAAATAAAGAACTTATTCCATTAATAATACAGATTCACACACTGGTTAAAAAACAAAATTAACTGTATTTTTCAACAGTTTCGTATGACCCTGTAAAGAAGGCTAAATATATATAGTGTATACATATACACATATACACAGGTATATAGGTAATATACACATCATAATAAAGAGGTGAGACACGTAGAAAGACATACAAACAACGAAGGGGTGTATATACATATAGAAGACATTGAGTTCAGAGTGCAAGAGATGGCTTAATGGGTTAAGTGAGATCTAATGGCTATACACAGTGCGAAAGTGCCATTAACACACCAGGCGGGGGCTCTCGTCTTACACCCGGTGTGTTAGTGAGAGAACACGTATCAAAGGGGGGAGAGGGGCAACAGTGAGGGTATACAAGATACTAACAAAGTGACACCGGAGGGGGAGAGGGGGAATACTAAACCCCAGTTATAGTAGTGATGGTTGGTGGTAGTGGTGCTGGTTGAGGTGGTTAGTGGATGATTGTGGTAGGGAATGGTGCATTAGTAGTTAAAGAAACGTTCTTGCATGATGCAAAGAGTTGCATAGTTTCTATTCTAACCAGCCATCTCAGTGCTCAAGTGTTTGAGCGAGAGAGAGAGAGAGAGAGAGAGAGAGAGGAGAGAGAGAGAGAGAGAGAGAGATGAGAGAGAGAGAGAGAGAGGAGAGGAGAGAGAGAGAGAGCGAGAGATCAGAGAGACAGAGAGAGATTGACAGAGAGCGAGGAGAGAGACAGAGAGTGAGAGAGAGAGAGAGAGAGAGAGAGAGCGAGAGAGGAGAGAGAGAGAGACAGAGAGGAGAGAAGAGAGGAGAGAGAGAGAGACTGGACAGAGAGAGACACAGAGAGAAGGGAAAGAGACACAGAGAGAAGAAGAGAGAGACAGAGGAAAGGAAGGAAAGGAAAAAAAAGACAAAAGAGGTGAAGGGAAGAAGGGGAGGGAGGAAAAAGAAAGGAGAATGGAAGGGGAAAAAAAAAAAAGGGGAAAAAAGATGGAGGG